TTCCGAGCACGGTGGGTCGAGTTGCCAGAGTAACCATTTCTCACGTTGTTAACATCATCTATCACGTCTGGCTGTGCCTGAGATCGCGAGACTCGATGGCGCCGTCTGGAGTGAACGGAACCCGCGGCTAGTTTCATGCGTTCCCAGAAGTGCACCACCCCCTTCTTTGAGGTCGCTGCCTCCTCCAAGGCGGAGTCTTCAGTTGCGCGATGCAAGACGCGGTGCGTTGAATTTTCGCGTTCGGCACCTTTCATGGGCCGTCTTCTCATCGGTGTCTCCCGTAAAATCGTTGATGGGAAGAGCTGCAAAACGCACAGACGGAAACATAAGCGCGTGCTCTTCCTAGACCTCAACTTCGCATTTGTCGCCATGAGCACAGCTTACCGTCTTAGTTTGGCCTCTTATTGTTCTGATTGTCCACGTGACTTGACCATTACTTGGGGGCCCTCGACTGGACGAGCTTCTTCCCCAAAACTCAAATCGCACGAGGCTTTGAGAGCTCCCTTGAGCGGCGCAATGGATGACCCCGTCGCATTTGAGGATCGCCCACGGGTGGCCAGCAAATAAAAGAACATCGCGACATACCTTGGCTGAGCACGGCCCCCCCGCCATTTTGCGAATGCAGCTCGGCTCCGGGCGAACTGCGTTCCAGCGGCGCATAACACTGAACTGTTTTCCTCCGCCTTCGTCCTCGCCGTCGCCTCTCTTTCCGCTTAACCGCGCGCAGTCGACTGAGCCCCGGATCGCCTCGCCAGATTGCAGCGCCCCGGCGCCCTGAACTTCTTCGCGCGGGATCTTCATCAGGCCCTTCCTTTTGTCGCGGTGGGGGCGCCAGCTTCTTGCAGAGCAGTCCTATGAATTGTGTTGCGTATCTCATCTATCACTCTGCTTGGTCTCGGGCCACGCGCGACCGCTTCGGGCGCCTCGGCCTCCGCGCCGACGAACGCCCCCCAGGTCACTGAACTCACTGCCCTTTTCCCGTCCTCTGCATCTTCCTCTAACTGCATGGCGACAAGATTCCGACTGGGGCTCGCGGGCTCACCCGCGCCCAATGGAACAGGTCCGCCTTTCCACGAAAGGCCAGACAAAGCGCTAGCTACTGCTGTCTCGCATTCGCTGAACAACTCGATCTGCGCGCGCAAGGTTAGCTGCCGCGCCCGCGCCAGCCCGGGGCAAGCCCGCCGTCTCAGTCAACGCGCCGTCGGGCCCCCTCCTGCTCGACTTGCCCGCCTACGCCGTCGACGGCGGGCCCGCTGGAAAGTCGTTGAAAACGAAGAGCGCCCCCCGCCCGAGTAGACCGCGGCGCTGGCCCGCGCCCGCCTCGCCGGGGCACGGGGCCAGCGGGCGCCGCCAGTGAAGACGCGCGCCCTGCTCGCAGGGCTAAGCCGGCGGTGGCCGAACGCGAGGGCGACGCTCGCGTGCTCGAGCAGCAGCGCCCGACTCATGTCTCGCCGCAAGGGGATGCGCCATGGTCGCCGTTGAGCCTCGATGACGATCGGCAAAAAAAGACCCCACTGCGCGACGACGCAGCGATGGCCCACTTATGCTGACGATGCAAAATTTCGCACGCCCCCCGAAACCGTCGGCCGCGAGAAAGATCGAAGCCCTCGCACTAGGCAGGCATGCGAACGAATACCTTGAAGTCCTCGCCTCGCGTCGATTAACCTCTGCACCGCGCGCCGCGCATGCGCGCGAAGAAGCGCCGGCGCGCTGAGATATAAGTTGAAACTGACTTGCAGCGGGACGCAGCGGCGACTTCAGTTCGGGGGGGGGCCAGGCCCACCTCCTCGACCGCTGCCGAAGCGCATAGTGGCGCGGCAGCCACGGTGCCACCTCTCACAGGACGGGCGGCGCCGCGCTGGGCCGCCTCCGCCATCGGCAGACCGAGCTCCCCCGAGGCCACGGGCGCCCCCCCAATCTCGACCTTCTTTGCGCGCCCGAACAGCGCTGGCAGCCGGCCGAGATCCATCGAGTTCAGGCCCGCGCGCGCGCGCCGGACGGCCCGCGCCCCGGCCCCCCCCCGGTCGCGCGCAGGAAGGCGCCTCGCGATAAAGATCGGCCAGTCTTGCCTTCAGCGGTGCGGGGCGATCCTGATCCCGCGAGCCCTGCTCAATGTTTCCCGCCAGATTTGTCCTTCCAATGCTTCTGTCGGTCTCGCCCTCCCCGCCCCCGCGCTGCGATGCCGCGCCAGATGGCTCATTCGCGCCTGTCGCGGCCCCCTGCCCCAGGAACAGATCCTCATCTATCGCCGGCGCGCCGTCTCTTCCAAGGGCGACGGGCCCTCGTTGCCCCCCCCCGCGCGCAGCCCCGACCCATTCCGATCTTTTCATGGATCGCGTTTCTCCTGCCCCTTGATATTCGCGGCGGCGGGTTGCTTCGATCCCCCGGTGCTTCCACTCCTTCTCCTGGGCAAACCTGTCCGCCACCTCGGACTGCCCCGCCCGGGCGACGCCGCTCTCTTCCTCGTCGCGGCCCCTCCCTCACCCTGACCAGCTCGGCGAGCGCCCCCCCCCCCCCCCTCGAAAACATATCCAAGTTCGTTCCCGCGGTTCGCGCCCGCTGCCTCGGGTGAATCGAGCGCGCCAGGGCCGCCCTCGCGCTCAGCTTCTGCCTCGTCTGCAACGCTCGCCCGCCGTCCGTCCAGTCCACGCGCACTTCCACACGTTGAGAGGCACTGTGTCTCCACCGACCGAAGAGAGCAAGCCTTGCGCGCGAGCTCGCGTTCCTGAAACGCGCCGTCGCGACGTTTGACGCGCTGGGTCCAAGATTCATCGCGCGTCACCTCCGCGGTCTTCTTGCACTGCTGCAGTCCCTCCAATATCGAAGCCCGCTCCTCTGCAATGGGCTCTGACTCGCAGAGTGCCGTCTCCGATCGCCTGCCCCGCGATGGGTCCACCTTCCCGAACGCTCGCATCATCCGTTGTCCTTGGGCCTCTTGCTCGGCTCTTTGCTCGGCTATTTTCTGCGTCTCTCGAAATTCGTCGAAGTTCGAAATTGTGTTGTTTCGCAGTTGGCCCCGAGAACATGATCCTCGAACAACTAGGCCCCCTGCTGCAATGATGGATTTGCACGCTGAGTATGTTCAGCCGATCGTTTGCACACATGCCACTCGGTGAACTCGGCCCTGCAGACCCCCGCTTCCATCGCCTCCTGGTGCTGAACCACTCGGCCATGAATGGTCCTCTCCACCTGCTCGACCAGCTCCTCCCTGACATGTATCTCGTTCGCAGGAAGAACATGCTAAGCCCGAGGGTGTCACAATGCTTACCACTGGGGTTGGCGGGAGACCTAAGCTGCTTGCGACCGCGTCGTGCGTGAACGGCACAAGCTGGATCTCTTGTTTCAAAGTGTCTGACCCGCTTGTTCTTGATGTACTGCGGCTGCAATCACACTAGGCCCGTTCTCGCAATTCCTCCATGTCGACCCATGATTACCGTGATGCCATGGTGCCTGGTAGGGCTGGGCGGCTCCAGCGTGCGCCCACCGGGCTGCAAGTGTCCGCCATCACGCACAGGAGTTCCACCTTTCCGAAAGGTCGCACCTGAACCACGAGGTTGCGCAGATGATGAAGGAAGTGGTGGCGGTGGTGGTGGCGGGGGAAACGATGGCGACACTGACGCGTCGCGTGTGACCTCCATTTCCTTTGCCAACGAGCGCCTTCGATTATGCCCGTCATCGTCATCGGAGCACTGCTTAGCTCCTTCCACCTCTCCCTCTTGAACCAATCGTAGGAGATATCGGTAATAACGCAGAACCGCTTCGGTATACAAAATCCCACTTTGTATCGCCACGCCCACCTCGGTCTTCAAGAAATTGATTTGTGGCTCTCTCTGTTGAACAGCGGACGGTTTCGGTTGCCAGCGCTTCCATTTCATAGCACTGAGCTCCACAACCGCTTTCCCTGCACAACAACTGCTGCAAACAGAGAGCGCTCTGGTAGTCTGCAAGACCATTTGCTGGTGGATGCTGGTAGGCGCGGCGCTTACATCAATATTTTACTGTGGCCATCCTGTGTTCATGTGTTATCTTTCTCTTCACATCATCTCGAAAAAAGGGGTACGCTGACTATAGATGCGTCACTCGTCAGCTGCTCCATGGCCCTGCTTTCACCCAGGTATTCGGACAACCTCCCTTCTGACATGACCACGCCGACGAATTAGTTTGCTGCTTGCACCCAGTACAATTCCACTTTCCTGGCTGTCGTTGCAGATTCGGAAATCGAATTGCACCGTGACGCTTCTCCAGCGAATGGCAAACTGCCGCCAATCGAACAAGTGGCCCAGCGCGTCCACGAGGTCGCCTCGCGCCGCGGAGCCACGCAGCCCCAAGCCGCTTGGCCTTCTAGCCGCTTGTGGCGGAAGCGCCTGTGGCAGCGGCTCCGCCGCAGCCGCCTGCCGCGGGCGCATTCAGGGGTTGCCGCCGCAGGCGGGGTCTGAGGGTATCCCCCCCAACCGCAGCCCCTATGGCGGCGCCGCGTTGCCGCCGCCCGCACGTGGGGCCGCTCTGGCCCCCCCAGCCCGAGCGGGCAACGGCTGAAATTCCTCCTCCCCTTCCTCTCCCTGACCCCCCTCCTCCTTCCCAACCCCTCCCGCTTCCCCCCCCCCTTCCCCTCTCTTCTCCTCCCCCTCCCTACTCCTTACTCCCTCCTCCTCCTCCTCCTCCTCCTCCTCCTCACGCTCCCTCCTCCCCGCCCGCGATCCCTCCTCCCCCCTTTACTCCTTATCATTCCCAACCCCTCCCGATTCCTCATCCTCCATGCCCTTCCTTCCCTCCCTCGTTCCTCCCCCCACGAAGCTTCCTCTCCCTCCCACAGGATTTCTCAAGGGCTGCGGCCAAAGGCTCTGAGTCACAGGCAGCAGCCAACACGCCGCTCTGGAAGGTAGCCAGTTGGGGTTCCCTTTGTGATGGCGTCCACTCCACTCCACTCCACTACTCTCCCCCCCTTCCTCCTCCCTCCTCTCGACGACGAAGCACTGTGCCGTACACGTGTGCGCGCCAGCCTCGGCGGCCGCCGCCTCCGCGGCCTTCGGGAAGGGCAGTGGCGCCCGCGGCAGCTCGGGACCGTCGGGCGCCTGGCGACGGCGACCGGCGGCCGCCCAGGAACGGCGACCGACGACCGACGCGTGATGGCGACGGAAGACGCCTGTCGCTCTTGGCGGCGACGAAGACAAACGATCGACGGCAACGACGACGACCACGACGACGACGACGACGACGACGACGACGACGATCGACGGCGACGGTGGCGGCGAACTCCTCCTCCTCCTCCTCCTCCTCCTCCTCCTCCTCCTCCTCCTCCTCCTCCTCCTCCTCCTCCTCCTCCCCTCCTCCTCCCTCCTCCCTCCTCCTCCTCCTCCTCCTCCCTCCTCCTCCTCCTCCTCCCCCCCCTCCCCCTCCCCCTCCTCCTCCTCCGCCTCCTCATCCTCCCCCTCCACCTTCTCCTCCTCCTCCTCCTTCTCCTCCTCCTCGCTGTTTGTTTGCCTTCGGGAGGCCTCCTCTTCGCCACGGCTAGACATGGCTGGATGAACACGCAGGATGGGCCTCTGGGGAAACGTCCCAGTCGAGTTTGAGCGGATGTTTGTGTGGCGACGGCGACGACTTCGACGTCTTTCCTTGGTTTAGGAATCCCACCAGTTTCCTGGGCGGGCTCTCGTCGCCACAGCTTGGTCTGCATCGGGATCCTAGTCGGAAGCCGCTCCAAGGAAGGTCTGGAGGGCGGATTTCGAGGGCGACGGCGATGGCGATGGCGACGACGACGGCGGCGGCGGTTGCGGTGTTGGTCACGGCTACGCCGACGATGACGTCGGCAGCGACGACGACGACAGCGATGACCACGACGGCGACGTCGACGGCGACGACGGCGGCTGCGACGAGGACGGCAGCGATGGCGGGGGGGAGACAGGAGGAACGGGAGAGAGGGATAAGGGAAGTAGCAGGGATGAGGGAGACGAGGATGAGGGGTGTGAGGGAGGGATGAGGGATCATGAGGGAGGTATGGATGAGAGCGGGAGGGAGGGATGAGGGATGAAGGAGGGAAGTCTGAGGGATGATGGGGAGTCGTAGAGACGAGAGACGAGGGAGAGCGGGAGGAGAAGGAGGCGGAGGAGGAGAAGGAGGAGGAGGAGAAGCAGCGTAAGGAATGAGGGAGAGTAGCAAGAGGGCGACCGGCAGCAAGAAGTAGAGAGAAGAGACGCCTCTGCCGACGCAAGCTTCTGCCGAAGCGGGCGTCTGCCAGAAAACAAGCTTCTGCCGGAGCGGGCGTCTGCCGGAGCGGGCTTCTGCCGGAGCGGGCTTCTGCTGGAGCGGGCTCCTGCCCGAGCGGACTTCTGCCAGAGCGGGCTTCTGCTGGAGCGGTCTCTGCCGGAGCGGGCTTCTGCCGGAGCGGTCTCTGCAAGAGCGGGCTTCTGCCAGAGCGGGCTTCGATCTTCTCTCGGAGGCGGCAGCGGCCGCGGTGACGGTGACGATGACGGCAGCGGTGGCGACGGCCCCATTCAGAGTATGTGGCGAAGCGTGCAAACAGACAGAGTGGGGCTCAGGACGATCCCTCCGAGGGGACGAGCTGCTCGAGACGGGGCGGCCTGAACTCGCCGACCACTTGGGGTCGGCGGGTTGGGGGCGGACAGGAACAGCTTGAGCCGATAGCAGCTGGACTCTCATAATGCCCCCTGCGTGCGCAACGGCAGTCCACCGTGCTGTTATGCTCCATGCTGGGTGACCTAATTGAGCCCAATCCTGAAAATGTTTTCGCGGAGTATGCCCCTGTTGTGTACTTGCCTAGCCACCTTGTTTTCGGCTGCGCTAATCTCACCATGCACCAACTGGCCTTTCTTTGTCTTCCCTGAGCTCGCCTTTGCCTTATTCGATGTGACCCCCACCCAATGTTACAACACCTTGCCCTAAGTTACTTTCTACCCACGGTATTGCATAGAAGTGTGGAGGGTTTGTGGATGTCATCTGTTTTTAATATTGTAGATGTTATACGCCTGCGGGCTTGCGGAGCAGGCAAAGGCAAGCCAGACCAGCGACCAAATACCTTCGGCCAAGGAGTCTGACTCAGCGCAACTGGTGTGCTGCACCCTATCTTGCCAACCTTACCCTACCCAGCCTTGCCTGACCTTGCAATCTGAAGCTTGGTGATGCTGGTTAGTATGTCCCCCGACCCTTCGGCGCCTCTGGTATCACAGAACCCGCGTCGGTGGCGGAGGAGGCGGCGTCCTTGGCGAGCACACAGCATCTGTGCCCTCCGCCCTCGGTCTCCTCTCCTCGCAACATCCACTCTCCTCTTAGGAACGGAGATGGAACATACACGACAGATGAAAACGGCGGATCTGGAATGGGAGCGAACGGTCGTCAAGTCCTGAAGGAACTGACAAAAACGCATGGGACACGCAATGAGCACGGAAACAACACGGCATTGGCGGGCGAAGAGGCATACGGAGAGCAAAATACAGCAGAACAGCTGCGCAGAAAATGACCAAACAAACAGCGGGGGAAACACGGTTGGCGAATTTCCAGAAAACAGACATGGATGGCACGAACTTGAAAAAACATACACACATGGCAGTGCAATGCGACAAAAAAACCTAACGATTTCAAGAGACGCCCCATACTCATCCCCGTCCTCATCCTCGCCGTCGTCTTCCTCCCCCTCCCCTCCTCCTCCTCCTCCTTACCCTCTTGTCCGGAAGTGCCGAATCTCGGACGACTTTTTAGAACCACCTTAGGGCCTCGCCCCTTCACTCCCTTCCCCCTTTGTAGCCTCCTCCCTCGCCTATCCGCCTCCCCTTCGCCCCTCTATCCCTCATCCCCCTCTCGACTCCCCTCCCCCTCTTTCTCCCTCATCCCCCTCCGCCTCCGTACCCCTGCCTCTCGCCATCCTCTCCCCGTCCTCCTCCCCCGTCCACACCCTCCTCCTCCTCCTCCTCTTCCTCCTCCCTCCTCCTCCTCCTCCTCCCTCCCTCCTCCTCCTCCTCCTCTCCTCCTCCTCCTCCTCCTCCTCCTCCTCCTCCTCCTCCTCCTCCCCGCCCTCCTCCTCCTCCTCCCTGCCGCCACTTCGGCGCAGGGCCGCCCCCCGCCTCGAGGCGGCGAGCGCCCGCCGGGCCACGGGCCGCCGAGCGGGGCGGGGGCGTCCGGAGCCTGGGCGGCGTGGCTGCCGCGCGAGCGCCCGCGCGCTGCGAGGTCGCGTGTGAGTGCGGCCGCCGCAGCCCGGCGCCAGGCGCGCAGCGATGTGGGGGGCGGGCGGTGAGCAGCAGGAGGGGGAGGTCGTGGACACGCCTGGGGTGGTATCGGCGCCGAGCGAGGGGGGGAAGTGAGAAGGGGCGGGCCTTCTCAGAAGTCTCGGAAGTCCCCTGGCCTTCTGAGAAGTTTTCTGAGCCTTCCCCGAAGACAGAACGAACTTCTCAGAAGGCGCGAGGGCTTCTGAGAAGTCTCGCCGCCTTCTGAGAAGGCCTTCTCCTTCTCACTTCCCCCCCTCGCTCGCCGCTGAGTGGTATCGGCGCCCAGCGGCCCACGACCCGAAGGACATGCAGTGTCTCTGCTTCGTTGGTGGCTCTCTGTGGGCGACGTCGCAGGGCGCGAGCTCAGCAGTGACCTCCATGGTCGTTCTGCTTTCGTTTGCCCTCGTTCTGCCTTCGGTCCGCACTGGCGGCAGAACGAAGTAACAACGAACACGGTCCACGAAATTGCCAAAACACCATCTAGCTCGCGCCCTGCGACAGGGGTGAAGCCGACATGAGTCTTGGAGGCGGAGGCGGCGCTCAACATCGGCGAGTTCCTGGGTGTGCCGGAGGGGCCCGTGCCAGAGGCCAAGGCGATGGTATGGAGGCCCAGACGGGCGTGATGGAACTGCCGACGTCCGCGAGCACGTCAAGGAGGCTGTCCGCGTGCAGAAGGCGATCGGCACGGGGGACGAGACGACCACTCGCCGTCGCTCGGACGTCCATTTGCCGTGCATGTTTCAGTTTCGTGCCGAGAAAAAATGCACACGTCCGAGCGATGCCAAGAGGAGATTGCTGAGGAGGTCGGGAACAAGGAGGTCGACAAGCCTGTGAAGGGGCCGACGGATGAGCTCGCTGGGAAGCCAGTCCTCGAGCCGAGGGCTGAGACTGAGGAGGTCGGTCAGCTCATGGCTGGGCCGACGAACGAGTACTTTGAGAAGAGCGTCCATGTGTCGCGATGTATGACCAGCACGAGGTCGAGCAGAATCATGTAGCATTTGGGCCGACGATCGGGGCGGTGCGGACGGATGAGATCGTCGTGAACAAGCCAATGGCTGGGATTCAGGCGTTGGGTGAGGTGGTACTTCGAGAAGTAACCCACGGGCCGCAGGAGGGCCAGCAGGAGGCCGAGCAGAATGTCATGCTCCACGTCGAGGTAATCGTCTGCAGGTCGGCGGACAGGTCGTGGAGCTGCTGACGTTGGTGTACGTACGACGAGGGAGCCGTCCATGTGCAGAAGCTGACGTTGGTGTACGTACGACGAGGGAGCCGTCCATGTGCAGAAGGCGATTGGCACGAACGGTGGAAACGATTGTGGAGAACGCCAAGACGCAGGAGGCCTGTACGCTTCCAGAGGAGCCGATACTGCAGTACGGTGAGGTTATCGTCCACGAGCTTGGCATCCAGGTGGTCGGTCTAATCGGGGCAGGGCCGACGTTCGAGCACTTAGAGAAGCAGGCCAATGGGCCGCGAGATGCCCAGCAGAGCAGGAGGTCGATCAGAAGATGGTGAAGGCGATGAGAACCGAGTACATCGCCTCGTCCGCCTCCTTCATCCACCCTGTCCCCCCTCCCCTCCGCCGACGACGTAGATGAGGACGTCGACGACGTCCACGACGACAAGAATGACAACGAGAACCATGACGACGACGTCGACGTGGACGTCGAAGCTAGTTACCGCTGCCGCAGGCACATGGCTCCTACAGCAGCAAATGCCCGTCTAGAAAAACGGTTCTGCGGCTCTGAGCCCATCGGTAAAAAACAAATGCTGTACACCAGGGGTGCTTCCCCAAAGTAGTCAGGGAGGGACCTCAGGTCAGCACTCACGGCCGCCCCCCCCCCCCCCATGCCCCTTCCCGGTGGCTTGCCATCTGGAGCAGCAACCACGGTGCTCATGGGGCCTGTCGGGCTGAGGAATGGGAGGACGAGGAAGAGGGGGGAGGAGGCGCGCCATGCGGCCTCGTGGGCAGCAAGGAGGACCTCCACGACCCCTGCCGGGGCCGCTCGGGGCCGCACCTTCCAAGCCCCCGCGGCGACGTCGTCGTCGTCGACGACGACGACGACGGCGACGAGCACTGGCGAGACGGCTTGCAGAAGGCGGAGGCGTCCTCGAAGTCACGGGGCTCCTGGGCGCCAGCGAGGCCGCGGGCACCAGGGATCTCCTCGCGGCTCGAGATGCTGCACGTCTCCGCCTGCCAGGGGGTGGTCGGGGGCCAGGAGCATGAGGAAAACGACTCCGCCGTCGTCGTCGTCGTCGTCGTCGTCGTCGTCGTCGTCGTCGTCGTCGTCGTCGTCGTCGTCTTCCCCCGCCTCCCCCTCCCTCCTCCTCTTCCTCCCACCTACTCCTTCTCCCTCCTTCTCCGCCCTACCCCCTCTACTTCCGCACGTGAAGAAGAGGATGGGGAGGACGAGGAGGGGCAGAAGGATCCGGAGGGGGAGGGGTGAGAAATGTGGAGGATGAGGAGGAAAGATAAATAACAGAGGAGGAGAACGAAAAGGAGGAGGACGAGGAGGAAGGTCAGAAGGAAAAGGAAAAGGAGGATGGGGAGGTGGAAGGGGAGAGGAGGAGAGCAGGAGGAGGAGGAGGACGAGGAAGAGGACAACGGGAGGGAGGAGGGAAGGCGGGCTAGTAAGAGGAGGAGGAGGAGGAGGAGGAGGAGGAGGAGGAGGAGGAGGAGGAGGACGAGGGGCTGAAGGGAAGAAAATGACGAGGACGAGGAAGGGGGCGAGGAGGGCATCAAAAGAGGGGGCGGAGGAGGAGAAGGCGAACAAAAACAACAACGACTACTACTACAACAACAACAACACCACCACCACCAACAACAACAACAACATCAACATCAGCAACAACAACAACAATAGTGTCTTGAAGTATGCATATCCCAGACCCTGGATACCCGCCCTCTTCGTCTTCGATCGTACCCCCTTTTGGGGGGTATATTCATTCCCTGCCACGTATGGTTGGTGAAGCCCTTGAAAACGAAGGGTAACAGATAACGGGGGAAGAATGAGGACGAACGGACCGGAGGAAGGGAGGGGAGGGGCAAGAACGAGGGAGGACGATTCTTCAATACTTTGTGAGGAAATATCCAGCGGGAGCCGCAATCCGGTGGTAAATTGCAAGGAAGTCCCAAGCGAGAGCGCGATTCTTCAATAAACTGTGAAAATTTATCAGGCGGAAGCCTTTGTTGTTGTTGAACATTATTTATTCTAAAGAATAATTATTGTTGGGCCCCCTGGTGCGCGCCCCCCCTGCGCCGCCTAGGCCGCAGCTACATTTTCATCATTTTCGTGAGGAAGCCTCAGAAAAGAGGGTGTGTACAGGATCCGGTTGTTTTGTTGTAATCCGCTTTCCCTTGCAAAAAACAATAGAAAATGACATTTCTTGTTCTAATATAATCAAATTTCAAGAATCCCTTGCAAAAAATAAGGTAAAGTGGACATTCGCGCGCGCAAGACGAAATCCTTCCAAAACCTTAGTGTTCGCAGCGATTTTAACATAAAAACATCAAAAAACCAATGGTTTTTCAACAAAAAAATGTCAAAATCTCATCCCGCGCGCTCTTGCGGATTCGTAGGAAACCCAACACTTTTTAAACATTTCTGTCAAACGGGCTTTTGCGAGCAACTTTTTCGAACTTCTGCGACAACGGTTGCGCACCTGCCAGGGCCATCATCCCTGTCAAATAATACCATGCGGGACACATTCGTTTTTTCTTCGCGCGCGCACGCCGAAATCTCCAAAAACCATTGGGCTTCTTAAGAATTTTAGCACCGCGCATCATAAAATCACACGAATCGCACCGTAGGTCCTCGAAAAACACCTGCACGACTTTTCAAAATTTCTACCCGCGCGCGCTGTCCGAATCCTAAAAAAACCAATGGTTTTCCAACATTTATGTTACATGAGCTCGCGCGAGCTACTTTCGCACGCTCTTGCAACGGGGTTCGCGCGCCTGCCAGGGGCCACAATCCCTTGCGGTTGCGCCATAGGTTGCGCCCTCGGCCGCCGAGAATAAAACGTCCCCCTATTGGTTGCGCCATAGGTTGCGCCCTC